CGCAAAATTAGAATCACGTACTCAATTAAAGAGTTCCGGGTAGCGATTCCGAATATCGTCTTCACGCTCCCAAGTGGCTTCATATGCAGATTTATTGTTCCATAGCACTTTCACCAACGGTATCTCCTTGGAATGAAGTTGCTTGATTGACCTCTCGAGAATTTGGAATGGTTGAACAGGGTACGTCATATTTTTCTCTAATTCTACTTCTTCTAGCTTTAGTACTTGGGATGGATCAGAGATATATCTTCTCAACTGAGACACATGGAAGACGTTATGAATTCCCGACAAATTAGGCGGTAACGCCAATCGATAAGCTGATTCTCCAATCCTGTCCAAGATAAGGTATGGTCCCAAGTACCGCAGACTCAACTTCTTCGTTCCCATTCTCCTGCCGAGTCCAGATGTGGGTGTGATTCTCAGAAACACGTGGTCTCCCACTTCAAAAGATAGGGGTTTATGACGATTGTCATAGTAACTTTTCTGCCTCGCCTGGGCTTTTTGCATATTTTCCTTGATCCTCTGTACCTGCTCTGAAGTTTCTTGAATCATGTCGGACCCTAAAATACTTCGCTCACCAACTTCTACCCAACATAAAGGAGATCTGCATTTCCTCCCGTACAAAGCTTCATACGGTGCCATTCTGATGCTGGAATGAAAACTATTATTGTAGGCAAACTCCACCAAAGGAAGATACTTGTCCCAACTGCCTCCTTGTTCTAAAATACATGCTCGCAACATATCCTCCAGAACCTGAATAGTGCGTTCAGTCTGACCATCAGTTTGCGGATGATAAGCGGTACTTAACCTCAAATGGGTTCCGAGAGCCCGTTGAAAAGACTCCCACAACTTAGAGGTGAACTTGGGTTCACGGTCACTAATGATACTGGTGGGAACTCCATGCAACTTCACAATCTCTCGATGATAAATCTGGGCAAGCCTTTCTGTGTTATACGTTGTTTAGACACTCAAGAAATGGGCTGATTTTGTAAGCCGATCAACAATTACCCATATGGCATCAAATCCTTCTCGCGTCCAAGGAAGTCCCACTACAAAGTCCATGGCAATACCATCCCATTTCCACTTGGGAATTTCTAGAGGTTGAAGAAGTCCCGACGGTTTCTGATGTTCGTACTTCACTTTCTGACAGGTTAAGCATCGAGCTACATATTCGGCAATATCACATTTCATACTCGGCCACCAAAATGAAGTCTTTAAATCATGATACATTTTAGTGGATCCAGGATGAACGGTATAGTTACTCTTATGAGCTTCTTGCAAAACTTCTTGAAACCGACCTTGAAACCTCAGCATTTTATTTTCATCCCAAATGATACCTTGGTAACCAGCTAATTTATGAACTAGTTCCTCATCTCTTTGAGCTCTCTTTATTCTACGAAGTAACTCATTCTCAACTTTGATTCTGCCCAACCTTATTCCACGCCTTCTTCTGATAACAGACAAGTTCAGATCCTGAAAAGCTTCAAGTAGTTTTAATTCTTCTATTATCAGGATTGCAGAATGAAGAGTCTTATGGCTCAAAGCATCAGCTACTACATTTTCCTTGCCTGGATGATACTTGAGTTCAAATTCATAATCTTTCAAGAATTCCATCCACCGTCGTTGCCTCATGTTTAGTTCCTTCTGATCAAACAAATACTTCAGACTCTTGTGATCGCTGAAGACATCAAATTGCGAACCATACAGATAATGTCTCTAGATCTTTAGTGCGAACACTATAGCTTCCAACTCCAGATCATGAGTAGGATACTTTTCCTCATGTGGCTTTAATTGTCGTGACGCATAGGCTACAACCATATGGTCTTGCATCAACACACAACCAAGGCCCTTCAGAGAAGCCTCACAATATACTTCAAACTTTCTGGTTAGGTCCGGAATAGTAAGCACAAGAGCACTGGTCAATCTACCTTTTAGCTCCAAGAAACATTCTTCACAAGCGTCAGTCCACTCAAAAGGCATTCCCTTCCGAGGGAGACGGGTGAGTGGTTGTACTAATTGAGAGAAATTCTGGATGAATCTACGATAATAACCTGTGAGTCCCAAGAAACTCCTCACTTCAGTTACGGTCTTAGGTCGCTCCCAATTCATTACTGCTTCCACTTTGTTGGGATCCACAGCAACTCCTTCGGCTGAAATTATGTGACCTAAAAAGTGGACTTCATTTAACTAGAACTCACACTTCGACCACTTGGCATACAACTATTTCTCCTTAAGGATTTGTAAAACTATCCTCAAATGTTCAGCGTGCAGTTCTTCATTGGTGGAATAAATCAGAATGTCATCAATAAATACAATGACAAACTGATCTAAGAATGGGTGAAAGATACGGTTTATATAATCCATGAAGACTGCTGGAGCATTAGTAAGCCCAAACGGAATCACCTGATATTCATAATGACAATAACGAGTCGTGAATGTCGTTTTCAGAATGTCCTCTGGCTTAACCCTAATTTGATGATATCCCGATCTCAGATCTATTTTTGAAACACCCTAGCACCTCTCAACTGGTCCATCAGATCATCAATTCTAGGAAGCGAATATTTATTCTTTACTGTCACCTTGTTCAGTTGACGATAATCTACACACAAACGTAGACTACCATCCTTCTTCTTGATAAGAATAGCTGGAGCACCCCATGGAGACGTACTGGGTCTGATGAATTCTTTTGACAAAATCTCTTCTATTTGTTTCTTCAGTTCTCGAAGTTCCAGTGGTGCCATACGGTAAGGAGAAATGAAATAGGTCCAACTCTAGGAAGAATTTCAATGGGAAATTCTATCTCCTGATGAGGAGGTAGTCGAGGAATTTCATCAGGAAACACCTCCACGAACTCATTAACCACAAGAATATTTTGAAGTTGGGTATCAACCGTATTCTCAAACTCAATTAACAACAAATACCCTTCAGCTCCCCGAAGGAGTTCTTTTCTAATTTGCAATAAGGAAATAGTAGCAAAGAACTGAGAATTACCATCTTTAGAAGGAACGATGACCTTTCCTGCTTGACAATCCAGGGTTATTCCATTTTTTGCTAGCCAGTCCATACCGATAATCACCTCAAGACTGAATACCGGTAGAACCACTAAATTCACTGTACAAGTCCTTTCTTCAAATTGTAGAATACAACCCCTGCAGATTTCTGTTGCAGTACAAGATCCTCCAGTAGGAGTACTGATTTGCAACTCATAAGGTAAGGGAGTTGGGGTGAGACCTAGTCTCATTGCAGTGTGCCCTACAATAAAAGAACCTGATGCTCCAGAATCAAAGATAACAGAAAGAGGATAACCATTCAAGATTACATTACCTTGGATCCGATTCGGATACTTTTGAGCTTCATTGACATCGAGGGTGAACACCCGAGCTTGAGTAGGAGGCTGATTCGCATTCTGTGGGCAATTAGAAATAAAGTGCCTCGGTTGTCCACACCTGTAGCACAAATTATTCCTGCGTCGGCATACACCAGTATGATTCTTCCCATAAGTGGCACAAGCATTGGGACCCTGTCGTCCGGCTGATGATTGTCTCGGAGCAGTATTCTTCTTAAAGTTTCCAGTCCGAGGTTGCAACTGAGGACCCTTGCCTCTATTCATTCCAGTAACCTTTCTGAAGAACCGACCAACTCTACTTCCTCCTTGTGATTGCACTGGCTGTTTAGACAAAGCCTTGGCTTCATTTATAATCTCTTCTGCTTGCCGACTCTGATTAATCAATTCAGGAAGAGTACGAATTGCTGAAGTCAAAACAAGTTTGCGAATCTCCGGATGCAGTCCACTTTCATACTTTTCCATCTGCCATTCTTCATCATAAATGTTTCGATCAAAGTTAGCATACTCCATCAGCTGCCCAAACTTTGCAATATATTCATTAACAGTCATATTATCTTGCCGCAGTGCTAGAAGCTCCGTGTGTTTCATCCTCCTCATAGCCTTAGGAAAATATTTGTCAAGAAAGACCCGTCTGAACACCTCCCAAGTAAGATCAACATGCTGAGCTCGAAGTAAAGCCCTTGCACTCGTCCACCAAGTTAATGCTTCATCAACCAACTGATACGAGGCATAGTCAACCTTGTGAGCTTCAGGACACCCCATACATTCAAAGATGTATTCAATCATCTGTAACCATCTTGCTGCCATCTCAGGATTATCTCCTCCTTCAAATGTAGGTGGCTGAAAATTTCGGAAGTCTTTCAACCTCCGCCTAGCAATCTCCTCAGCATTGTCATGCATTTGGGGTTGGTTAGGATTTTGATTTCTATATTCCCTCCACTCTTGATTCATACCTGCCATGTTTCTGCACTCACAATACCACGAAATGAGTTGATCAGACTCACCGCAAGATGTACATGACAGCAATTCCAAGTAGGTACTCGAGTTCTAATCAGATAAGTTAACAATGCATATGTTCTTATCACCGAATAATTCTAACATTTTAATCCTACCAATTACCACAACTTAAACGAATCATTCAACATATGCCAATCATGATTCAGACAATCCATTAATTTAATTCTAACATACAACAGCCAGCAAACAATTCGACAATCATACTCAAACAGCAAACAATTCAACAATCATATACAAACACCATGAATCAAAACTGCTCTGATACCATTTAGTGTGACACCCTCCCCTGTATGCATCCAAGGGAGATGCCTGCTAAAACCGATTAGAGTCGCAACGTTAACATATTCAATTATGAAAATGCATTTTGAAGTCACAAATAAAATCTTGTCTTGAAATTGGGTTTCATATGGAAAATAGCTAGTAATTTCATAAAAGCTTTTGATGCTGAAATTGTAAATTTCCCAGAAAACCTATTTGTCTTGAAAAAACCATATAAAATCGAGTTTACAAGCTTTTGAAATTTTTATTTGACACGAAGAAAGTAGACATCTGGGGCTTTATGTACATATAAAATTTATCTCGTTAGGAGATATGTAACCCCAGAAACAGAACTCGCAAGATGCACAAAAATATAGAGTAAAAATCCGAATTTAAATCAGGCAGAATTTGTCTTGGCAAGTCAAGTACCAGAGTTACATAAGTTACATGCAAAACATAAAAATCAAAATACAGCGAAGCATGTCACGTTTCCAACATTGCCGGTCTCTCAAAATATTACATCATGATTAGAAATTTAACACTCCAAAACAGCCAAAAACAGCAGACACATAGTAATGACTCAAAGAGAATTTGCCATGAAATCACGTCATGAAATACTTCTTCTTCCTCCTGCAATTTTATAAAAATTGAGCCCAAAAGGGGTGAGAAAAATTCCAGTAGTGTGATAGAAAAACCAATAATGCAACAGTATTAGTTTAGTTGCAGAATTTCCAAAATTGTCACATCCTCAAATAATTACCGAACAGATACTAAAATGCAACAGAATGCGTATATAACGCCAGAATTTGTATCTTCATAGCACTAAAGTGCACATACTAGCTAACTATACTCAATGGAGATTCCATTTGGCCCTAGCAGAGGGGAATTCCAATTGAGGCCTATGCGAACTGAGCCACGGTTCCTTCTCCCTGGTACCTGAGGGATGCCTATATGATGTATGCTCAAACATATGCTTTCTTTCACAATTTTACGGTTTCCAAAACTGCATGAACAATTATGCATGTTATGCTGTAATTTGCTTCACACACATGACAATATGATTAATGCATGATGTTCATGAGCATGACAAAAAAAATCAGAATCAGAAAATCATAGTTCACATGACTATGCTACCAAAATTTCGAACATGGTGTCTCCAAAACAGAATTCCAATAAGTCCTCTCCAAAGGCAGATTATAAATATTTTCCAACAGAATTTATATGAGACACATGAGCAACAATTCAAAAATTCATGAACTAAACTAACAGTCACAAAAGATCAATCCACCAAACACTTACATTGATGCTTACAAATTTTTTACCAAAGGTGTCACCAAATCAATCCACTCCCTTAGAGGTTTGCGCACCTAACAAATATATACCAAGTCAGAATTTTATTTTATGTTATCCTATACATCACATGCAAATTTCCATTCTTCTAAATTCTCGGATTTAGTCGGGTTTCAATGCTTCAATTACTAATTAATTTTTCTGACTCATATTTAGTTTTACCAATTGTTTCCAAGAGACAAAACCAAGGGTTTCCTATGCATGTAGATTCGGTTTTTTTACCCATCAACTAGGTGCTTATAATTTTCATTTACATAACCTTCTCTACAAAGCTTATGAGTGTGCTAATGAGGCCTTTAAGCATGTTGTCCATGTAGATTTCACACATGCAAGGCATGACAATACAATAGTCCAAAGAAACAGTCCCGAAATCCATGGAGAGCTTATCTTTCAAGCTCAAAATCGGCCTTGGGCTTGCCTGCACCAAGAGGTTTATGTTGTTCTCCAACTAGGCAGAAACGGGGGAAAGGAGAATGACAAGCGTATGTCCTCCTTGAATGTATATAAGGCCGAAATAGTGAGGGAAAAGGAGAGCATGGTTTCCGATTTTATACCTCTTGTATGAACCCAAAATGCTCCCAAATCGGTCAAGGGGATAGCCACCAAGAGATGAGCAACACTCTCACCCTCCTACTCTCCAAGACTCATGTTTTCAGCTGCATGCAAAGGGGAAAAACTCCTTTAAAAAAAACGAAAGGAGCATGAGGGAACAGGGAAGTAGAGAAAACACAATACCTCCTTGAATGTTGATGCTCGGCCGAACAAGAGAAAGAGAAGGAAAAGTATACTTAGGTGTTTTGATTCTTTTCCTAAGGAGTTTGCGGCTAAGTGAAGAAGATGACAGGAAAGGTATGCAAGCTTAGGTTTTCTTGTGTTCCTCTATGATGCTTGCGGCTGGTGGAAGGGTGGAGGATGAAAGGAATGCAAGCTTGGGTGATAGGTTGTTCACTTGGTAGCTTGCGGATTTGAAGAGGGAATGAGAGTGATGAGGCTGAGTTTGATTCTGATTAATGATGATAAGTATTCAGCTTTGTTTTTCTCCTCACTAAGCGCACATTGAAAGGATAAGGGTGGTAAGAGAGTTGCTCTTGACCAATAAAGAAACATGCATTCAGATTGCTTTCCTCTCATAGGGCGC